TGGGGGCGTCAAAACTAAAAATGTTAAAAACAAAAAAGGATAAATAACTAAATATGAGAAATGTTAGAGCTGTCGTTTCCTAAAAGTTTGCATTAATTAAATATAACCAGTAATCTCTTTAAATGAAAGAAAAAAGATAACTAACTAGATATCAGAACTGTTAAGACTGTTTGCTAAAAGTTCCTATGAATAAAACATAGGCAGTAGACTGCCCTGTATCTTTTGGGAGGCCCCAGCAATCCCCATCAGGTGCAGCAGGTCTGGAAGGCCCTGGAGAGCTGCTGTTGTCAGGTTCATGATGACAGGCCGAAGCTGGACTCTGATGTCTGCTGGCTTCCTCTTCAACTTTTCCATCTGGGTCCCTGGTCTAGTTGGTCAGTGCCACCACATCCAGGACAGGTATTTCCCCCTTAGGCACTGTCCCAAAAACTAGTTCATTCTGTAAATACTAGAGGTATGCTTCATTAACCCAGGATCAACTACCACATTTATTTTTGTTGGTGCTAGAAACCAAACCCAGGGTCTTGTGCTTACTAGAAAAACACTACTACTGAACAAAATTGCTAACCTTATTTTTAAAGTTATTTTTGAGACAGGGTCTCTCTAGGCAGGATAGGCTGGTCTTAAACTTTGTGATCCTCCTGTCTCAACCTCCCAGGTGTTGGAATTACAGGCATGCACCAATATGCCTGGCTCCCAAATTCTATGCTATTTTTTTCTATAAATATAAAAAATTAACATTAATATATATTATACCATATGGAAATAAATGTGGTTATTTCAGGTTCCACAGTAGAGATATTTGGCTGTAACCTTCCTACAGTAAATTCCTATTTTTCTATTGCAATTTTAATTGAATTGTATTTAAAAAAAATTTGTGGGACCAAGGACTGGACTCTAGTTATATCTCTAGTCTTTTATCAAGTTTATTTGGTAGCAAGCAATTTTTGGTTTGGGGGTATACAACCTCATGAGGTCTAGTATTCCCAAGGCCTTTTATATCGCTCCCAACGCATTTCATGTTGCTCTCAAGAGGTCTAGTATTCCCAAGGCATTTTATATTGACCTCAAGAGATCTAGTATTCTCGAGGCATTTTATATTGACCTCAAGAGGTCTAGTATT